TTCTGGTGTATCTATTAACTCAACTGCTATTTGAGCAACAGTATACTAAGTGTCACACGCAGTCATAGATGCTAGGGAAACAGTGGTTTTTGGAGCTTACATTGTAGTGGAGGACAGGGACGTGAACATATAAACAAGTAGCATGATTCCAGATAGAAGAGGGTGTCCTGGACCTACTTTGGATGAGGCAACCAGTGTGGACTTAAAAGGAGGGGACAGTTGAGGGATTTCCTGGTGGCTAAGGGGTTGTCCCAACACTATGAAGTTATCCACAGCCACTGCAACACTAGTTCCATCCCCGGCCAGGGAGCTGACCCACATGGCGCAGCAGACCTCTCCTGTCTTGCCCGCTGCTCCCCTCAGCAGTGTATTTCAGTTGATCCGCCTGTTCTGCTCCCCACTCTGTCTCTGGTGAATCCACCACCGCCCTGCACCTCTGGTCTGCACCCCAGCTCTTGTATGCATAAATAAATAGATTTTTTTTTTTTAAAGGAGGGGACACTTGAGATATACAGAATGGATTATGTGAAAAGTTGGGGAAAGAAGTAGAAAACAGCTAGTGCCAGTGTCCTGAGGCAGGAGTGACTATGCTGTTTTCTGTGGGCAAGTTACCAAGGAAGACAGTAGATGAGATGGGAGTGGTACATAGATCTTTCAGGAAGAAACTTGCATAGGGAGCAACTGAAGATCTGAGGAGAGTGCTGTAATCTTTTTAAAAAGCTCTCTCTGCCTGAGGTGGGGACAGTGGGTTGTAGGGGGCAAGAATGAAAACAGGGACACCAGGCTGTTGTAATTTTGTGGGTGAGAAATGATGGTGACTCAGACTAGGGTGGTGTCTGTGGAGGAGGAGGGAAGTAGATGGACGATGCTGTCGTGAATGTGTGTAGGTGGATTTTTGTGCCCACTCGAGTCTTCCTGTAGGGTTGATTCCTAGAAAGGGAATTGCTGCACCAGAGAATGAATAATAATAGCTGGCATTCATTAACTGTTGACTATGTGCCAGGTACTATTTTAAGTGCTTTTCATGTAATTGAGTCATAAATAAGCTTGTAGTCTTAGGGCCCCTAGCATGGCTAAGGATTTAAAAACTTAAATTTGATATTCAGTGTTGATGGCAGTTGAATAAAAACCTCTCAAGCTGTCTGAGCCTGTAGAGCTCTGTAGGAATGTAGGTATCGTGGAGTAGCCACATGGCTAGCTTTGACTTATGTCGGTGGCGTTGAATGTGCAGTTGCACTAAGAGTTCAGAGGATGGAGTGCTTCCTTGCATCTGCCCTGATAAAGGATTTTCTGAGAAAATCGCACTGGAGGGGGATTTTGAAGTCTGGGACAAAGCCTGGCTGGGGGTCGGGGGGGCAGTGGTGCTTTCAGGTGTGCAGAACATTGCAATTTGGAGTTTGCAGGTGGGCAGATGAAGCTTTTGGGAGTGAGTGTTCTGGCAGTAGTGGGAGTTCAGGCTGGTGATGTAGCATAGAGCCAGTATTGAATGGCCTTAAATGCCAGTGATAGATTTTTTTTTTTTCCACTGTTGGGTTTTTTAAAAATCAGAATCAAATCAAATTGCTGAACCCCCCCCCCTTTTTTTTTTTAAAGATTTATTTATTTATTTATACAAGCACTGGGTACAGTCAGAAGTGTGGGTGGGTGAGAGAATTCACCAGAGCCAGAGCTGGGAACAGAACAGGCAGACCAATGAAATACACTGCTGAGGGGAGCATCGGGTGGCAGGAGAGGTCTGTGCGCCATGTAGGACCCTCGCCCGGCGGCTGGGGATCGAACCGGGGCTACAGAGGCTGCAGGCAGCTTTGCAGCCCAGCGCTCAACCGCTGCACCACCATGGAGTCCCTGAACCCTTTTTATATTTAAGTAATGGGGATTGAAGAGTTTAGTAAGCTCAAGTAACTGTTGTCTGTTATAGGCCAGCATTATGCTAGATGGTTTTGCACACACATTTCACCAGGTTCCAATGGGGTTAAATGGCGTGAAGTCAGAACTGGTACCTCCTTTTTAATCATAGATAAACTGAGGTTTAGAGAGATTATGCAGTTTGTCCGGTTCACCCACTTAGAAGTAATAGAGTCAGGATTCAAACTCAGGAGTCAAACCTAGAAGGCATTTATTAGTGATCGCAAGTGCCCATTACTGAAGGAAATTCAAGGAGAACAGAGCCTGAGAAGTTAGTGGGGTTGGACATTAAGAGACCATTGGTAATGTTTGAAGAGGCAGGTTTGCAGAAGAGAGCTGGGCCTTTCTAGCTGTGTCCTCCAGGTACTTGCGTAGCCAAAAGGAAAAGACCCAGCTGTTCCGAACAAAAGAGAACTTGGAAGTGTTAGGGCCAGGTGAAGGGAGAGCTTGTAGACCGAAAGTGGCAGCAGACCTCTGGCATCAGGGCACTCAACCTTTCTGATGTCAAAAGTTTAATATGCGCGCTACATTCTCTTTGGAAACACTGCTTATTATATGTGCTGTTTCAAGGAATCCTAGCCTGGGCAAAGCAGCATACTTTCCTCCTCTTACTTGCTGATACAATATTACAAATCTGATAAGAAACCTGCTGTTCCTTATCTCTGTTCCTTACCTTGCCTGTGTGGGGTAAGCCCTGTCTCTCCTGCTCTAGCAGGGTTGTCACGGGAGGGAAAAAAGGAAGACTTGAGTCTGCTTGCCTGTGGTTGGTAGTGGGAGGGCCCCCTAGAAGAGTAGCAGTAATGGAGAAGCTGAGATCAGATGTAATGCCTTTGAGGGAAATACTGTCAGTCTTCTCCCCCTCTCTCCAGGTTACCCGTTGGTGGTATCAGTGCAGGACATTCCAAATCTGCTAGTATCAAGCAGTGTGGGGTTCTGTTTTATCAGTCAGCATTCTCATTAAAGACTTCTGGTCTAATTACAGGCAAGTGTCCATAATTACTCGAACCGTTTTTGGAAGAGAGTTTCTCCATGTTCTCCCTGTTACTGGTACTGGTTGAGATAGACTCATTTTATAATGAGCAAATAAGTAACAAACTTATTGGTCAGCAGAACTTGAATTTATGTGAGACTATTCTTAGTTCTTACTAATTCTTTTCACTGTGAATAATAATACATTTGCTGCAGAAATATTAATGGGTTTGATTATAGGGTACTGTAGCCTATGATCCTGATGCAGTCTCCTGACATACAATGTAAATGCTTTATTTCCATTTGCAATTCTGAAGCATTCTGATTCTGAAACACTTCTGATACAGAGGATTTCAGACAAGATAGTTGTGGACCTGTACTGCCGCTCACTGACCTTAGAATTAAGTCCAAGCTTCTTGGGATAGCCCAGCTTCTAACTGCCTCATCCACTGCCACATTCTAGACATAACAAACATTTCCTAGCTAGACCCTTTTTTGTGCTGCCATTTCCCCTTACATATTGTAGCCTAAAAAGTATCCTTCTCACCACCTCTCATCTTACTTGACTCCCACCCACCCGGTTGCACTCCCTTCCCCACGCCTTTCAGGCACACTTAGAATAAAATCCAGACTATTCACAAGGTCAGGGAGCCACTTTATGATGTGAGCCCTGATCTGTCTGCAAGTCTCCTTGCTGTTTTGCCCTTTGCTGACTGTTCCTCAGCTACTCTGTCCTCCACGTGCCTGCAACTTGCCTGATGTGCCTCTGCTTCAGGGCTTTTGCACTGGCTGTTTTCTCTGGAATACTTGTCTTCCGAATATATACGTTAGTACTTCATTTCATTTTGATTTCTGCCCAGCACCTCCTCAGTAAGACCATTTTGATCGGGCATCCCTGGTGGCGCAAGGGGTTAAGACGCAACCTATGAAGCTGTCTGCAGTCACTGCAGCACAAGTTCGATCCCCAGCCAGGGAGCTACCCACATGGCACATCAGACCTCTCCTGACTCGCCTGCTGCTCCCCTCAGCCGTGTGTTTCAGTCGAAATGCCTGTTTTGTTCCCCACTCTGTCTCTGGTGAATCCTCTCACACACTCACCCCCACCTCTGGCCTGTACCCGAGTTCTTGTGTGCATAAATAAATAAATCTTTAAAAAAAAAAAAAAAAGACCATTTTGATTGTCCTGACTAGAGTAGCATCCTCCATCATCTCTATCCTTATGCTTCATTTACATCACTTCTTCGCATGCTTTTGCAACAGGGTGGTCCCCAGGAAAGGGGGAGGTTCCCTGCCCCACCCAAGGGAGGGTGGAGCTGAGCAGGAAGAGGAAAAGCTGCAGAAGAGACTGAGGAAGGAAACAGGGTGGAGCCAGGAGACCTGGAGGAGGCACATGGAGCCTAGAGACACTTGAAGAAACTGCGCTTGTCTTTTGGTTGTGGACTGGGTGACACAGATGTGGGTGAGACCTGTGGGGAGGGGACAATGGCAGCCTTTATCTTGATGTTGATTTTGCTCCTTTCCTTCCGGGCTTGTCTGGTTGTTTCTGGCCCTTTTCTGTGGGTCCCCACTGGAAGATGCTTTATACTTGTGGCAGGCTTTGGGGCCTTGCTCTGGGCCAGTCCCATTTGGATGGACTTTTACCCACGAGGGGACGGGTAACTTTGGGTGCTTTATTTAGAAACTAGACTCTGCCTTACCTGTATTGTTTCCTAGTTTTATTAAAGTTCCTTCCCCTTAAAGTCTCCTATGTTTTCTGTTGATGCGGCGGATGGCAGAACCCATTTAGAATAGGCAGGTTTGCGGGGTTTGGGCTGCCCCTCTCTCCCTGTCCTATAACACTTTCTTGTCTCTCTGTTTCCTTCACAAAGTGTGACTCTGGGAGGGCAGGGATTGTGTCCATACTGTACAGGGTGCCTGGCACCATAGGTGCTCAATAAATATTTGTTGAATGACTGGTTCTCTGCTGGAAGGACTGGGGCCTGTCTCCTAGATTTGTGGCCATGGTGCTTCAGGGCTCTTTGTGAAAACCAAAAGTATTTCCCAGTTACTTTATCTTATTCTGTTTTTCAGTGATTCAGTAAACTTCCTCTGTTTCTGTTTAATTGACACTACTATCTGCCTTACAGGTTGCGGGCCTCCCGGGTACTTCTTGTTGGCATGAAAGGACTCGGGGCTGAAATTGCCAAGAATCTCATCCTGGCGGGAGTGAAGGGACTGACCATGCTGGATCATGAACAGGTTAGATATTCAGCCACCTCATCAGTCCCCTTCGATCTCTCCTCTTCAGTATAAACATGTGGCGATTGTGTGAGTTCTGCTTGAACTGTTGGAGCCTCTGAGAGGAAGGGTGGCTTTGATGGAGAATGACAGTGTGTGGATTGGGCTTGAGTTCCAGTTCCTCTGCATCCTAGGTGGCTGGCCATTGGCGATGCCTGTCATCTTGTTGAGCTTGCCTACCTGTGTAGAGGGTGTTTGTGAGGACTAGAGGAGTGATTTTCCAATTCGTGCCAATAAATCGCCTGAATAATTTTTTTTAAAAGATTTATTTATGCATACAAGAACTGGGGTACAGGCCAGAGGTGCAGGGGGTGAGAGGATTCACCAGAGACAGAGTGAGGAACAGAATAAGCAGGCAGCTTGAAATACACTGCTGCGGGGAGCAGCAGTCAAGTCAGGAGAGGCCTGTTGTGCCATGTGCGTCAGCTCTCTGGCCGGGGATCGAATTCATGCTGCAGTGGTTGCCGATAGCTTCATAGTGCTGAGACTTAACCCCTTGTGCCACCAGGGAGGTCCCCTGGACAGTACTTTAAAATAAAGTCTAGAAATCTTTTTTTAGGTAAAATACTTCAGAGATTGGCATGTGACATATTAATGATGTCTGTTTGACAGTGAACAAGGTCCTCACTGAGTAGAGCACTGAGTGAGGTGTAGATTGAACAAAAGTAAACGATAATGAAATTATAACAGTGTACCTTCTTTGGGGTTTTAGGAGAAATACATTATTAAGTTCCACTGCAAGATGAAGAGAATCATTGGTGGTTCACTTAATATCACAGTTACAAGTTGAGCTTTGATATGAATTTGAAACTTCCGAGGAAAAAATTCCTGCAAGCTAGCTGCCCTGTTAACAGCCTAAGCGCTGCCTGCTTTGACATCTCCCTAGCCACACTGCCCCCTAGAGGCAGGAACACTACACAGGAGGGAGAATTTGTAGTGTAAACTGGGAAAGAGCAAGACCTAAGCAAGAAAGGTTCCTAAACTTGGAGACATTTGGCTGGAAAATGAAACCACATGGGGGTTGGGATGTCCCAGCTGGTTGGGGGAGTCTGAGAATGGGGAATGGCCAAGTAGCAACCTCGAGGGCTGTGTGAGGCCTTTCTCCCACTGCACCAGTACAGCAATAATTGCCACTCAGGGTTGTGTGAATGGACACCTTGAGGACTTAGTGTGCCTTCTTCTGTGAGGCCTAACTTGTTCTCAATCCCTCCTGCATTTTTTTTTTATTTTTAAAAAAATATTTATACAAGAACTGGGGTACAGGCCAGATGCATGGGAGGGTGAGAGGATCCACCAGAGACAGAGCGGGGAACAGAACAGGCAGACTGATGAAATACACTGCTGAGGGAAGCAGCGGGCGAGACAATAGAGGACTGCCTTACCATGTGAGACCCTTGTGGGCCGGCCGGGATCGAACCGGCACTCCAGAGGCTGCAGACAGCTTCACAGTGCTGCGCTCAATCGCCTGCGCTACCAGGGGAGGCCCCCACTCCTGAAATTTAGTTTTTTTGGGGAATTATTTGGAAAAAAAAAAAAAAAAAAGTTTTCCAGGTGTATCTAATAGGGAGGGTTAGGGCCTCCCCAGTGGCGCAGTGGTTGAGCTCCGGGTTGCGAAGCTGCCCGCAGCTTCTTCAGTGCCGGTTCAATCCCCGGCTGCTCTCCGGCCACCGGAGGAGGGTCCCGCATGGCGCGCAGACCTCTCCTGCCGCCCGCTGCTCCCCTCAGCAGTGTACTTTGGTCCTTCTGCCTGCTCTGCTCCCTGCTCTGGCTCTGGTGGATTCTCTCACCCTCCCGCGCTTCTGACTGTACCCAGTGCTTGTATAAATAAATAAAAATAAATCTTAAAAAAAAAAGCAAACATTGTACAAAAACAAAACAAAAAAATAATAGGGAGGGTTAGAACCACTGTTTTCATGTAACCTGGTCTAGTCATTACTCAGCCTGACTCCCTCCTCATAAATTGACTAGTTCATCAGCACTTGTGGCTGCTCTGCCCTTTGCAGTTTGCTTGTACTTTCCCCCCTGACTGGAAACATTCCAGGGAGACAGCGCTTCCTTATTGCAGAGGCTTTGGAATCATGCAGGCTTGTGCTTAAATTGCGTCTCCTCAAACTGGGCAAAGGACTTTACCTCTTAGAGACTGTTTGTTCATCTGTAAAATGAGGATGTTGATAGCTTGCCCCACCTTTAGAGTTTTTCATTTTGTCTACATCAACAAGTGTCTGAGAGCACATCTGCCGGCTACCCTGCAGTATGCTAGGTATTGGTGATGCAAAGTTATACAAGATTTGGTTCCCGTCCTCAAGTGTTTTTCAGAAACTAGTACAGCCCCCCGATTCAGATTTTGGCAGGGAGACAGGAAAGGCATCCTGGAGTTCTGACCTGAGCTGAGTCTTAAAGAACAAGGAGAGATTGGGCCTTACTGGTGGTGCGAGGGGTTAAGTCTCAGCACTATGAAGCTATCCGTAGCCACTGCAGCATGAGTTCAATCCCCAGCCAGGGAGCTGACCCACAGGCACAGCACACCTCTCCTATCTTCCCTGATGCTCCCCTCAGCAGTGTATTTCAGTCAGTCTGCCTGTTCTGCTCCCATTCCCCTGTTCTGGTGAATCCGCCCCCCCACCCCCCCACCTCCCCACCCCCCCACCTCTGGCCTACACCCCAGCTCTTGTATGTATAAATAAATATTTTAAAAAAAAAGAACAAGAAGAGGTTTATCAAGTTGAGGGGCTGTTTTAGGCAGGGGGCATTAATACAAATAGCATGGCAGATATAGTAATTAAGAAGCAGTTTGGTGTTTTTAGAGGTTGAAATCCAGAGCATTGGGGTGGGGCGGCTTGTGGGTAAGAGCCAAGTCATGAAGGGCTTGCTGGTAAGCTCTGCCATAAGTTTTTTTTTTTTTTTTTTATAGAGGCATGTTTTATTTATTTGTTTGTTTGTTTGTTTGTTTTGTTTATACATGCACTGGGTACAGTCAGAAGCGCGGGAGGGTGAGAGAATTCACCAGAGCCAGAGCGGGGAGCAGAGCAGGCAGAAGGACCGAAGTACACTGCTGAGGGGAGCAGCGGGCGGCAGGAGAGGTCTGCGCGCCATGTGGGACCCTCCTCCAGTGGTCGGGGAGCAGCCGGGGATCGAACCGGCGCCGCAGAGGCTGCGGGCAGCTTCGCTACCCAGCGCTCAACCGCTGCGCCACCGGGGAGGCCCTTTTTTTTTTTTTTTTTTTTAAATTAATTAATTTATTTATACAAGCACTGGGTACAGTCAGAAGCACGGGAGGGTGAGAGAACTCACTAGAGCCAGAGCGGAGAGCAGAACAGGCAGAGTGACGAAGTACACTGCTGAGGGGAGCAGCGGGCGGCAGGAGAGGTCTGCGCACCATGTGGGACCCTCGCCCGGCGGCTGGGGATCGAACCGGTGCTGCTGAGGCCGTGTGCAGCCGCGCAACCCAGCGCTCAACCGCTGCGCCACCGGGGAGGCCCTCTGCCATAAGTTTTTACTTAATCCTACGGGTGGTGAACATTCATTGACCAGAGTCAAGTGGTGGCCTGGTTAGCTTTGTCTTTATGTAGGTCACTAGTTATTGTGTAAACTATGGTTGGTGCCAGATACATGGTAGAAGACCACGTGGATGGCTGCTTTGGTGACTTCACGGAAGTCATGGTCTTTGGTGATAGAGCTAGACATGTACTGAGGTGAGAAAAACTTAGGTGGGTACAGTTGTTATGTGGGCATAAGGAAAGTGAGGGAATAAGGACAGTAGCTGATGCTTACTGCTGGGTGCAGAGCAAGGTTCTAAGAACTGTAGTCGTAGTGACTCCTTTTGTCCTCACAACAAAAGGTGTAGGGATTGTCCTCCCTGTTTTACAGATAAGAAGATGGGAAAAGTAAAGTGCTGAGTCTCCCGATGTCTCCATAGTTACATGGTACAGACAGGCCCAGGTTGTCTGACTTCTGGCAGTCACCTGCTATGGAGGAAATAGCAAAGATTTGAAGACCAGGTTTTTGGGATAGGTGATGGAATGGGTGGTGGATGGCCTCAGCAGTGGACAGCAAAAGTTGGAGACCTGTGGGGACCCAGAGGAAATGTCTATAGGCAGGTTGATATAAGACACAGATGGGTCAGAAAGCAGCCCATCCGTGCCAGTCTGAGTAATTAGAAAAACAGCAGATTTTGGTCGAAACTAAAAGTGCTTGTGTGTGGGGGGTGTGTGTGTGTGTTAATAGGAGCTGTACATATTGGTACACAAACTGGTAAAAAGGAGTGATTCTGAGCTGGAATCTTGGGGACAGCTGTACCTCGTGGGGCTCATATAGAGAGTGGAATGTCCAGCGAGGGAGGAGGAGAGGCAGGAACTAAGAGGCAGGGGAGCAGATAGTAATAGTCAACACTGAGAAGAGTGAAGCGAAAGTACATTGTTTTAACATCCTCATTCTACATGTGACCCCCGACCTCGCTCAAGGTCACGCGGTAAGTGATTGAGCCAGGATTGGAGTCAAAGATTTGAATCTAGCCTGAATCTAGTCTGAATTGTCCTTAACCACTCTGATATACAGCCTTTTGCTGTATATACAGCTGTATATACAGCCTCTGATATACAGCCTTTTGCTACGTAATAGGATCCCTGAAGAAGCGGGACAGGACAGGTCGAGGTTGGCCTTGAATGGGAGCAGGACCCGTTCATTTTCTTGGCGACAGGTTACTAAGGATATGTGTGTTGTCGGTAGTGGGCAGGAGAGTGGGGAGATTCCTTCTGTTGAACAGTTTTATTTTATTTTTTTTTTTAAGATTTACCCATCTATGCATACAAGAACTGGGTATAGGCCAGAGGCGCGGGGGGTGGGAGGAGGATCCACCAGAGACAGAGTGGGGAACAGAACAGGCAGATTGACCAAAGTACACTGTTGAGGGGAGCAGCGGGGGAGTCAGGAAAGGTCTGCTGTGCCATGTGGGTTGCTCCTTGGCCGGGAATCGAACTCGTGCTGCAGTGGCTGCGGATTGCTTCATAGGTTGCATCTTAACCTCTTGTGCCACCAGGGAGGCCCATCCTGTTGAACAGTCTTAGTGAAGGTGGTGAGGTCATAGGTAGAGATGAGTGGTTCAATTTGACAGTTTTAGTGTGTGAAGAGATACTTCATCTGTGTGGGATCTGTAATCCTACTGGTTGGTCAAGTGATTCTTACTTTTTTTTTAAAGATTTATTTATTTATTTATACAAGCACTGCAGTCAGAAGCGCGGGAGGATGAGAGAATTCACCAGAGCCGAAGTGGGGAGCAGAGCAGGCAGAAGGACCGAAGTACATGCTGAGGGGAGCAGCGGGCGGCAGGAGAGGTCTGCGCGTCATGTGGGACCCTCCTCCAGTGGCCGGGGAGCAGCCGGGGATCGAATCGGGCGCTGCAGAGGCTGCGGGCAGCTTCGCAACCCAGCGCTCAACCGCTGCGCCACTGGGGAGGCCCGTGATTCTTATTTTTGGGGTTCTGCGCTGCTGACAATCTGTTGTTAACATCATGCCCCATTCATCTCAGAGGAGAGGCCTGCTGAGCCATATGTGGGTAGCTCCCTGGCCACGAATCAAACTCAGGCAGTAGTGGTGACAGCACTGAGACTTAACCCCTAGGCCACCAGGGAGACCCTGTGTTTAATTTTTTGCATTGGTCTGATTTTAAATCACTGGAAGGCCAGAGGGCTACATTCTTTTAAATTATGTGTGTTTTCCTCTGAATGCTTAAGACACATAGTAGATGTGTTGGACACATAGTGGATATCACTGATGGTTACCAGTCACCTTGTCAGCCTTTACAAATTTAAGTGAAAGAAGAAAACATGAACTTTTCTCTTTAGAATGCATTTTCTTTATAAACACAAGGGGGTGCTCTTTCACCATCAATGCCCAGGAACATGAAATAGTTTATCTCTATTGTAAAGCCTCAGAAAGGAAGCGTATAGGCAGTCTGCATTAGGCAGATTCCTGCAGCAATAAATTAGGTTACAGGTAACTTAGTAACCTTTTGAAATGGAAAAGCTTGTCGTTGTTAACAATTGTTTTCCCCAAAATTCAAGTATTGAAGAAAAAAAATTATCCGTAGGTATCTCCAGAAGATCCCGGAGCTCAGTTCCTCATCCGTACTGGATCTGTTGGCAGAAACAGAGCTGAAGCCTCTTTGGAGAGAGCCCAGAATCTCAACCCCATGGTGGATGTGAAGGTGGACACTGAAAATATAGAAAAGAAACCTGAATCGTTTTTCACTCAGTTTGACGCAGTAAGTTTCACAAAGAGTGTAAAATCTACTGTGGGAATTAAGTAAACCAAAGCATTAGTTTTGTGTATATTAGGTGCATTTGAAAGCTCATATTCTAAACTTTATTCCACACAAGTTTATAAACGGTTCTGTTCTGTAGGCTTAGAATATTGCCTTAGTAGATTGAAATATATATTGCCGTCGTATGTTGTGTTGGTCTGTAGATCCAGTCTGTTGGATCCGCTGTATCTGTTTGTGACTTGCTGCCTGTCTGCTGGTTTCCTTTGGGCATATGTTCCCCAAGCAGGTTTCATCATTGATGTCTTTGCCTTCCTTCCAGAACCTTTGCACATAGCCTTGATGCATTTTTATTGCAAATGTTTTCTCCCCAAACTTAACAAGTTGGTGATTAATTTCTGTAGCAGAGACTTTTTTTTGGTTACAAATATCAAACTACAGCTTGTGTTTTGTCTTAAAAAAGAGCACACCTGATCTTAGTCTGTCTCTGTCTCTTTCACACAGCCACTTTGACCATGTTGCCATGGATAACTAGACAGAATCACTGTAGTCATAAGCCAAATGAGGCATATCCAACCTCATTTGGTTTCACTGCCAAATCTATGCAGAGGTGAAAGGATAAGTTAAATTCTATTTCAATGTCTGTGACCTTTCAGACATGGTTCCCTGTACCCTGGAAAAGCTTAACAAATGTTGGATAACTGTGAAACAATCACAGATGATATACTTGTTTTTTAAATGAAAGGCCCATTACATGAGAGGTTAGAATTTGGGCTGGGTAGTTTGTTTTTCACACTGTTATATTTCATATGTGCATCTGTTCAAAATGGGTTGGTAATGATGAATCGTCTGTGCATTTTGTCTTTTTTTTTTTTTTTCTTTCCCTTAAGTCTGTTTTGTAATTCCAGGTATTGGAACATTTTCGATTTGGATATAAGTCTTCATTTCTTTATCCATAGTAACTACATTTGGTTTATTTTAGGTGTCCCTTGAACGTCTAGCAATTAGAAGGCTGAGAGAAGTGGGAATTGGGGCTTATATAATGCATGTGCACAGGCCACAATGATGGCTCGTGTTTGACTGGTGCTTGTAGGTTTTACTCTCACTTTTGACTCTACAGGGCTCCACTGGTGAGTTGGTGGTGTGTTCAACTGTGACTTTCTTGCCCTTTAGATTTGATGTTTCCTTGGGTGGCTCCATCATTTGAATGACAGCAGGGGCATACATACTCTGCTAGTGTTAGTTCAACGTTCAGGATGCCAGATGAGCAAAGAGGTTCTATCAAATGAAAAAATCCTTTTGTGATTTCTTTTCCAACTCTATGTTCAGAAGAAAACATATTCTGTTTAGAAGTTGTCTTCTTGGCCCCGATCACAAACCCTTTCTCAAAAAGATGGTGTTTTGTGAGCAAAACGTAACCATTTCCAATACCTCTCTACTTACTGGGAGACAACCTAGAGGCCCCAGAGAAACATCGATAATTCCACTGAGTGAATCACGGGTTCATTGTCTCAGTCTCAATGGAAGGTCACTGGTCTGTAACCTTTTCTTTTGTCCTTAAACTCAGATAAAGTTTCACATTGAAAACTGTGGGAAAATAATCTCAACAGGACTTGTTTATCATCTTTATCTTAACGTATCAATCAAAAGAAGGGGGAAATACCCCCTTAAAAAGATGTGACGTTTGGATAAATTTAAAAAAGTTTGCTTCTCACCATGGCTTATTCAGAATTTAATAGGTTTAATAATTTAGAAATAACTTCTACTAAGTTATAGCTGTTTTTTCCTTTTCATGAAAAGTATGAAATGTGTTTTTTTTGTATGTTCATGCGTTAGGAAAAACAAATTCAGTGAATGACTTTTACTTTCCAGCTAAATATAGTTCGTTTTGTTTGCGGGATGTGGCGGTCTCATGATTTACATCTTCTGCACACTGAGACCTCTAAGTTTTCCTTTGTCTTCCAACCATAGGATCCAAAGAACCTGTTGTACCAGTTTGAAACTGGCTTTAGACATGCCCAGAGTGACTTTTCATTAAGATTTATTTAGACATCAGGGCAGTGATTCACAGTTTGCAAAACTCACACCCAGCCAATTTCTTTCTGCAGGTATGTCTGACTTGCTGTTCCAGAGATGTCATAATTAAAGTTGACCAGATCTGTCACAAAAACAGCATCAAGTTCTTTACAGGAGATGTTTTTGGCTACCATGGATACACATTTGCCAATCTTGGAGAGCATGAATTTGTAGAGTAAGTGTTGGGAGAGGCTGGAGAAGAGAACATTTCAAAATACATTTTTTTCACTGGTAGGAAATGAATCTTTTTTTTAAAAAGATTTATTTTTATTTACGCATGCAAGAACAGGGGTTCAGGCCAGAGGTGTGGGGAGGATTCACCAGAGACAGATTTGGGAGCAGAACAGATGAATTGACTGAAATACACTGAAGAGGGGAGCAGTGGGGAGACAGGAGAGGTCTGCTGCGCCATGTGGGTCACCTCCCTGCCCGCGGATCGAACTCATACTGCAGTGGCTGGTGATAGCTTGATAGCACTGAGACTTTACCCCTGCACCACCTGGGAGGCCCAGAAATGAACCATTTAAAGGAGGCATTTTATTGCAATACTTAGAACATTCAGAAGCCAGTTCATTAATAGATTACTGTCTATCATGTGTTTAGAATTGGAGGGTATTTGATCAGTTTGGACTTCAGGTGAAGCCTCACTCTCTGTTTAGGGGGATATCTTGCTTGGGTTTTAAAAATGTGTTACCCGTTTGGGCTTGCATGTTTCAGGTCAATAGATAGTAAAATGAGTACAAAAGTTTAGCAGTTAGCTCTGGAGCACAGTGAGCCAGAGTCTACCCTGGAAAGGTTCCAAGGTCCGGAGACTGCTCTGATGGAACAAACAGACCGTGTCTTCTCATTTTGAACACTGGGGTTGCAGACCTTGGTGATTCTCACATGATGGGACCTGCAGTGGTTTGAACTTGTAGCTTCTAGATGATAGATGTCAGATTATCCCAGTATTGTAAACCTATATGGGTTGGTATTTTTGGCTGTATTTTCTGACCACCCTTATTGCTAATGAAAAATCGAGAACCTTTGTGGTAGGTGACTCTTCCTACTAAGAGTCAAGAACTGCTTGTTTTGTTTAGCTTCTCAGGCAAGTAACTGATATTTCCCTGGTCTGCAAGAGTTTTGCCTATAAAGTCAAGATGGGGGCAGGACAAACATGTTCAAGATCTCTAGTAATACTAGTGTGTTGGGTTTTTTTTTTTTGTTTGTTTTTGCTTAGAAGAACTGGGGTGTGTGATGGTGGTAGGGTTTGAGAGGATTCAATAGAGATAGAGTGGGGAGCAGAACAGGTGGATCTACTGAAATACACTGCTGAGGGGAGCAGTGGGCAAGACAGGAGAGGTCTGCTGTGCCAGATGTGGGTTAGCTCCCTGGCCAGGGATCCAACTCAGGCCCCAGCAGTAATAGCACTGAGACTTAATCCTTAGGACACCAGGGATGCCCAACACAAGTGTTTTATGGGCAGATTATTTTATTTTTTTTTATTATTTAAAAAAAATTTATTTATCAACACAAGAGCTGGGTTACAGGCCAGAGATGTGGGGGATGAGAGGATCCACCAGAGACAGAGTGGGGAGCAGAACAGGCAGATCGACTGAGACACATAGCTGAGGGGAGCAGCGAGTGAGACAGGAGAGGTCTGCTTCACCATTTGGGTTTCTCCCTGGCCAGCTGGGGATCGAACTTGTGCTGTAGCGGGCTTCATAGTACGTTGCTTAATCCCTTGCGCCACCAGGGAGGCCGTGGGCATATTATTTTAATGTGAACTCCCCGTGGCAGTGGAATTGAATTTGACTATTTCCTGATTCCAGTGAAAAAAACAAGGTTTGTGGAGCGCTTACTTTATGCTTGTTAGTGTGCTAAGTCATTTATTTATTTTAAAAGATTTTATTTTTGTGTAGAAGAACTGGAGTGCAGTTCAGAGGTGCAGGGGTGGTGAGAGGATTCCCCAGAGACAGTGGGGAGCAGAGCAAGCGGATCTACTGAACCACACTGCTGAGGGGAGTGGTGGGGGAGACAGGAGAGGTCTGCTGCACCATGTGGGTCAGTTCCCTGGCCTGGGATCCAACTCAGGCCATCGTGGTGGGCCTGTTTGGTGGTAGTGTTAGGGGGAAAGGATGTCCTAAAGCTAATTCCATACAGGCTTTGTGGACTCCACCCCCACCCCAGGCCGAAGCCAAAGACACTGGGAACTCCAAATCCCATCGCCACCAGAGGAAAGGTGGCTGGGACCTGAGGGTGGAGTTAAGCAGCCAGGTTGGTATAAAGCCAGAAACGTGGGCTTTGGAGGGGTTCCCCCATTTTGGCTCTCCGCCAGCTCGCAGCATCCAGCCAGCTCTGAGAGTGCCTTTGGGTTTCCAGGTCGGCGGATTGGGTAGGACGCATTAAAGACTTTATTTCCCTATTTTCTCCCTGAGTTGTCCATTTTCCTTATTTCCTTTTCCCTTGTAAATAAACCTTTTATTAACCTTTTGTGTGTGCCTGTAGTGGAGTATTAATAAGTCCCTTTTAAGCGCGCGGGTGAGGACCCACAGCCAGGCACCCCATTCAGTATCAGGGCTGCCCTAAAACAGCAGCACTGAGACTTAACCCCCGGGCCACTAGGGAGGAACCTGTGCTAAGCCATATATGTTATTTATTTTGTAATAGTACTGTCAGTGTTATTCCTACATTGTGGGTAACTGCCTCATCAGGTGATCAGTGATGGAGGTGGGATTTGAATCCAGATCTGTCTGACTGCAAAGCTTTTGCTCTTAATCATCACCTTGTACGGTGAGCTGGTGATGGTCTTTGTGTTAGGGTAGAACTCGATTTCCTTCCATTGTTATCTTCTAGGGAGAAAACCAAAGTTGCCAAAGTTAGCCAAGGAGTAGAAGATGGGCCTGATACCAAGAGAGCAAAACTTGATTCACCTGAGACAACCATGGTCAAAAAGGTATGTATGCAGTGTGCGTGCAGGCATGCGTGCTTGAGTGCACACAGAAGTAATACACGTGAGACCTGTGAGTTTACAGGCAATCCCAAGGGCAAAGGATAGAAGATAGTTCCTTTTGAAAGGAGGGACCTCAGCAGACTGGGCCAGCCTTGTCCCATTAAAGGGGGGTGGAGGGGCAGCTGCTGCTTAGTGCCAGCCAGCTGTTGCCAGGAAGGCATGTGGACCCAGATGCCAGATGTGATATGTAGGCTTTTCAAGATAATCTGATATGTAGGCTTTTTTTATATACTCGGTCCCAAATCTTTAACTCCCTTGGTTTTCCTGCTTGCCTTGGTTTGAATGCTGTTCTTGGCAACACTGTGAGGGTTAAAAAGAATTGGCCTGTGGGACTCAACTCGTGGCCACCCTTGGACCTCCTGTATAGGGAGCAGAGTCAGACTGACAGTTTATCAGCATTGTACAAAAGGCCATTACTTTTTGTACAAAAAAATTTTCATTTCTGATTGATAGACTGTTTATGAAGGTCTTTAGGGGGCAAGAGAGAGTCCAACTTGAATTGCTTTTGTTCTGCTTTTTTTCAAAAAGTTTTTTCCTCCCCACCAAGAAGGCCTTGATGTTGACCAGTCTTATCAGGTGTGTATTTTTTTTCCCCCCAATAGTTTTTATTTGGGGCTTAGACTATATTCAGTGCAGTAGTTTCAAGTTATTCTGTAGAACGGAGTGGAAGGGAATTGACAAGACTCCTGATTTCGTAGCTGGCCAGAATCAGTGTTGTTGAACTGAAAGGAGAGACATGACCAAGCCCTATTTACTCTCTGCTTTGTAGATTTAATTGTTGAGAAAGAAAAACAGCTGGTCAGAGCTTGGAGTTAAAATGGCTCTAAAGGGGGGATTCTAAGAGTGCAGAAACCACAAAAGAGACTGCAGAAACCACAAAAGTGGAACTCTTCAAGTTTCCAGCAAGGCTGCTTGGAGATTTTCTTTTTATGTTTGTATTGGAACAGTTCGATGCTGTGAGTGTGATACAGAGGAATTATTAAACCCTAATTTTAGTGTCTATTCACAGGACCATAATTATCCAGAGTGAACATTGGTGTTTTGGCCAAAACTTGGGTCCTTTTCTTTTTTCCTTCCTTTCTTTCTTTTTGAGGCCCAGTCAAGCTTTATCTGAATAGCTCCGTGAGTTTGGTGGTGGTGGTGGGGGGGGGCAATAAATTGTTAACTGAGGAGGAGTACAAAAGCAGCTTTGTGGGTGCTGTCAATTTATAAATCACACCCTCTTACAAGTGTGACACTTGGCCTTGGTGTGAAGGGTTTTATGGCTTAAGGGCCTTCTCTGATTGAGGCGGGTCTTTCACATTCAAATAGAGAGAGCCCTAGCTTTGTTAGCCCTTCACAGCTGGAAGTTTCCCTTGGAGTCAATTCTGATGGTGCTCACTGGGGTGGATCTGGAAACCTCTTTGGGGAGCCACTTTATCTAGCTATGAGGAGAATGTGGGCAGCCCGGCAGGCACTTGCGTACCATTCCTAGGGCTCTCCAGGCACAGAGCTCTTTGTGCAGCCTCTTCCTACATGGGCCCCGATAGGAAGGTATCAAAATATTTCCCAGCTGACATTGTTAGTCAGCTGTTTCCCCTGGACAATTCAGGCTTGGATTCCAACCCCCAGCCCTTAAAGTTGTGAGGCATTCAGTGCATTCCTGATGACAATCTGTGGGATTCCAAACCTTGTCTTTGTGCGGCCTCATCAAGAGCTCTGTGGAGGGACTAGACTGAACTGGGTTGGGCCATAGCTTGGCCACCTTGTGACAAAGCACCTCCAGAGACTGCTCCATGATTCCAGAATTTTCTTCCAATTCAAAAAATCCTTGATTCAGATTCTGTCCTTTGACCTAAATTGTACAGAATAACTTCATGGGCTATGCTCAGCGTGCAGGATGGGGGTGGGGAAGCAGCCACTTCCTGTTTCCTGTGAAGGTTTCTGGTGAGGGTTCCCTTCCCCTCCCCCTTTCCTTAGGTTCAACCAAATGTTGTAAAGCCACTTTTGCTTCAAGGTACACATTGTGCTCCTAAATTAGAAACGTTAAAAAACAAAGAGGAAAAACAGAGCTGTGGTTTTCACACCGTCTAGGAAGACACCGGCCTTTCTAGCACAGGTGCCATCGTGATAAATAAAGCAGTGGGAAGAGGCCTAGCCCAGAGACAGAGGCTCAGCAGCGGTTTGTTTGCTTCCTTTGGAGCCCAGGCGAAGTCATGAGACAGATTTCATCAGAATGAAGTCTTGGGCACAAATCTCATACAGACACTAATGCACAATAGATACAGGAGGGAGCGGTGGTTTTGTGGTGAGGAAGTATCCAAAACAATTTCCCAAAGGAAGGATTGTTGAGAGTTGTCAGGTAAAGGACAGTTTATTAAGCGCCCAAGCCCTGACCAGCATTTGGTCACAGGAACTAGGGTTAACTGTAAGCACAAATGTTAAGGATAGAGTGATTCTTGCTGTGGCATCCCCCACTTAAGACGGCCAGTTCTTTCTACATCTACAATTTGCAAAATGCCTACTGTGTATAAGGCGCCGTATTTAGTGCAGGGGAGCACTTCCAGTCCTGGTGTCTCTATTTACGGCTAATGCTGAAACTAAGAAGTTAAATGACCTGCTCAAGATCACGCAGTTGCATAAAAGAAAGTAAACAGGAGGGCAGAGACCTTGCACCTGGCTAACAGCACAGACTCACCCCATGGCTTTCAGAGTGAATCCTCTTGGAGTTTCTAGAATGATTTGAAGTGTTATGAGGCTGGTGGGATGAAATATGTGAAAATTGGGATCATTTTGGGAAAACCTTCAGAATAAAAGGCCAACAACGTGCTCACTTGTGGTTATTGCTCGTGTTTCATAGATGTTAGGGTTCCAGACAAGGATAGGTGCCTGGTGAGGGTTGCTCCCTGTAATAGCTCTTGAAAAATGAAACACAAAGTATTTGTTCGTGATGTGCTAAGAAATCGATTTACTTTTTTTTTAGAAATAGATTTACTTTTACCTCTGCTTCTGAAATACTAGGTGGCTAATTTGGGCTCTCTTAATAACTTTTCATGAATTAGTTGTGAAATTCCACAGTTGGGTAGTGATTCATTATTTTGATTTCCCCCCTTCTAAGCAAGTTGTTAACATTTTTATCCTCTCACTCCTATCCTTGAAGAAACATTCCTGATGACTAGTTTTTCTTTTACATGGTACCTTGACTTAAAACACTGACTGCCTTTGAGGTTACTTGTCAGTGTCTCCCATTAGAGTTTAAGCTTCATGAGGGCAGGGCAGCTTTGTTTCTGTATTCCCAGCACAGTGCCCAGCACAGTCATATTCAAGAAATGCTAATTTGGTGTAGTTGTGGCTATTCCTGCAGCATAATGTGACAACTCTGCAGGATATGAGGGGAGAAGGGGGTGGGACAGGAGAGGTCTACTGTGCTCTGTAGGTATCTCCCTGGCCTGCTGGGGTCGAACTGGCACTGCAGAGGCTGCAGACAGTTTCACAGCACTGCGCTTAACTGCCTGTGCCACCAGGGAGGCCCTGTAGTTCAGGCGTTTGAGCTGAGCTAAGAACAGTTCCAGAGAGGATGAGGGGCTTGCTGGGGAGTACTTAGAACTGAGGTATCGAATTACTCATTGAGTCTAGACCATATCCTTCAGGCCAGAAAGGTTCAAAACCCTGCAAATTGTCAGGATCACTTGATTTGGGGGAGGGGTGCAAATCGAGGAGAGCTTGGAATGCTAATAGCATGTTTTCTAGGTAGATAGAGGTGGGGTTTGGAGTGGGTGCTGTTGGTGCCTTGCCTCACAGTGAACAAGTTCTGAGCTCTTGGGATGAGGGAAGGGGAGTCCCTCTCTGCATCTCAGCACTGTCCTGTCTGTATTTTTTTACTGTGATATCTGCTATGTTAAGAACAAATTATGGAACATAATATTAAAACCAGCATCATCCAAATGAAAAACAAAAGCATTCCAAGCATTGAACCAGTCTGTTCTGTGCCTTCACCCCTGGGCTTCAGGTATAGCTGAGTGAATTTAAATAGGGTACCTTGAAGGGGCAGATACAGCCCTGCTTGGCTTAGTGTTTTATAATGTGTTGGTAAATCCAAACAGTTAAATAAAGCTTCTGTGATGTTGCAGGTATTCAGTATGATAGTGGTCACCACCGTGGACCTGCCACCGAATTGAAAACATGAAATAACACTGGTGTGGTGGAGACCCCTAGGCTACCCATCCCCAGCATAAGCACCACTATCCTTAATTGAGGTTCTCCTTCCACACATTTCTTCTTATTACATATGTCCGTATTTCCAAGTAATATATGGAATTGTTCTGTATGCTTTTTAACTGCTTAAAAATTGATTTCATATTGTATGTGTGCTGCCACCTGCTCTTTAAGAACAATATTCTGTTTGTGAGACCATCTATGCTTGTATATAGTTCTAGAGCTTTGCTGTCCGTTTTGGTAGCCATTATCCACATGTGGCCATTAAAATGAAAATTAAATAGAAATATAAAAATTCACTTCTTCTCAATAGCCTCAATGTGGTCTCAATAGCCACATTTCAAATACCACATGTGGCTATTGGCACAGGTATCGCCAAGCGCGGACACAGCGTTTCCATCATCACAGCAAGTTCTCTTGAACATCTCTGCAGGACCTCCTTTCTGTGTGAATACATTACTGTTTATTTATCCATTTTTGTATTGATGGCATTCAGGTATGTAAGTTTTTGCTATCAACACATTGTGCTGTGGTCAGTGTGTTTTCTGTGTGTGTGTTGGTATAATATCTCCTTGGGTAAAGTGTGATTTCTCTAGGCTACATGCTCAGGAGGAAAACTAGGGTATGTGTATCCTCAGCTTTACCAGACCCTGCTAAATACTCCCAAGTAGTTTTGTCAACTTACGTTCCAAAACCAGCAGCAGTATGTGTTAGCAGCAACATTTGGTAACTTGGGGCTCACTTGCCAC